TCCTTTCCCCCTTCTGATAACCAGGTGGCGAATCGCATCTCTGCATGTCTGGCAGACATATCAGTGTGGATGATGGATCACCACCTCAAGCTGAACCTCGGCAAGACGGAGCTGCTCTTCCTCCCGGGGAAGGACTGCCCGTTCCATGATCTCGCCATCACGGTTGACAACTCTGTTGTGTCCTCCTCCCAGAGTGCAAAGAGCCTTGGCGTGACCCAGGACAACACCCTGTCGTTCTCCGCTAACATCAAGGCGGTGACCCGATCCTGTAGGTTCATGCTCTACAACATTCGCAGAGTACAACCCTGCCTTACACAGGAAGCGGCACAGGTCCTAATCCAGGCACTTGTCATCTCCCGTCTGGATTACTGCAACTCGCTGTTGGCTGGGCTCCCTGCCTGTGCCATTAAACCCCTACAACTCATCCAGAACGCCGGAGCCCATCTGGTGTTCGACCTTCCCAAGTTCTCTCACGTCACCCCGCTCCTCCGCACACTCCACTGGCTTCCAGTTGAAGCTCGCATCTGCTACAAGACCATGGTGCTTGCCTACGGAGCTGTGAGGGGTCTGATCAGTCCCTACACCCAAACGAGGGCACTACGTTCATCCACCTCTGGCCTGCTGGCTCCCCTACCTCTGCGGAAGCACAGTTCCCGCTCAGCCCAGTCAAAACTGTTCGCTGCTCTGGCACCCCAATGGTGGAACAAGCTCCCTCATGACGCCAGGACAGCGGAGTCACTCACCACCTTCCGGAGACACTTGAAACCCCACCTCTTTAAGGAATACCTGGGATAGGATAAAGTAATCCTTCTACTCCCCCTTACCCCACCCCAAAAAAAAAAAAAAAAAAAAAACTATTGTAAAGTGGTTGTCCCACTGGCTATCATAAGGTGAATGCACTAATTTGTAAGTCGCTCAGGATAAGAGCGTCTGCTGAATGACGTAAATGTAAATGTAAATGTAAATATTCATGTTGAGTGTTTGAATACAGTGCAGCCTTTGGCTAAAGCTGATGAGACAGTAAACAGTGGCGCTGGATTAGTCTGTACCCTACGCCCTATGCAGTGCACTACTTTTGACCAAAGCCCTATGGGCCCTGGTCAAAAGTAGTGCACTATATCGGGAATAGGGTGCCATTTGGGACACAGTCTTCATCAGCAGCTCTTATCTCCTAAAGTCTTATCTCACGGCCACCTCTAACTCACAGGTCCAGCTAGCAGCAATCCCATGTAACCCTGTGCAACTTATACAACTAGGAGTCATACAGTGTATCCTTTCTGACGAATTGCCACCCGTACAATGCTGCTACTATTGCTTGTGTGATTTATAGTCTGTAATAGAAACTCATAAACAGATATCAGTGATGTATCACCCTAATATTTCTCTCCTCTCTCTACCTTTAATAACGCTTTTGTTGTATTGCTCAGTATCGGTCTAGCAGTGTGTCTCATTGACTTCCTCCACCTTTTGGACATCTAAGCAACAACCACACATCTAATAATAATACATCACAATATGTGGTTACCTCTCCTGTATTTATTGTGAACACATTATTCCAGAGTTCTAGCGTTTGCTGTAACTGTGGGTGAGACATTAAATTGGTGAGGTGGAGCTGAACTGATGTATGTTCAATCATTTCCAAACAAACAAATTGTAAAAGAAAAGCTATCACTGTAAAAGTACAAACTCTGCATGGAGTGTCCTCTAGTGTCTCTTTCAAGGAACTTCAATGTAAAAAAAAAAGTTGGGCAAATGGAGAAACTGTTGATTAAAGAGGAAGTTCACACATTTTTACATGTGCCTTATTTTCAGAAAGAGTGAAAATAAGTCTAAATGTACAAATTGGTGAACTTCCCCTTTAATGCATCACACTCAAACATAAATGAGCTATGAAGCAGCTAGATTATAATTAAATTACAGCTTTTATTATAAAATAGATTTTATGTACATGAAACAACTTATGAAATTCAATCAGATTCAGCGGAAGTGACCTATTGCAAACAACACATGTTAGAGGAAATGTGGACATATCTATTTTCTCTCTTCCTGTAGTCACTGCTAGGTTTACTGGCAAACATGTAAACAGGGTGAGGGAGGGAGGGAGGGAGGGGAGGAGAGAGAGTCAGTAGGTTTACCTTTTAGATAAATAAATAGAGATAGAAAAGGAAGAGAGGATAGAGAGGGAAAGGGTTCAGGGAGAGAGAGAAGAGAGAAGAGAGGGATAGAGAAGGGAAAGAGAGAGAAGAGAAGGATGGAGAGGGAAAGAGAAGGTGACAGAGAGAATGAAAGTTCGCAAAGAAGGACAGAGAGCGTGAAGAGTATAGAGATGAGAGGGGTCAGGGAGAGAGACATAAGAAGATAGACAGAAAAATAGATAGAGAGAGAGAGCGAGTGAATAGAGGGAAAGAGGGAGAGGTGAAGGAGGTCAGGAGGATGGTGTGTTGCCAAACGTAGAGGGAGTTCTCCATGGAGGGGACCTGCTGAAGGCTGTCTCTGCTGCTCTGTCGTCGTTACCCCATTCCTGCACACACACACACACACACATGCACACACAAATGCGGTTTCATTATTACAGCACATTTACGTAAAGTCTAAACACTTCCTTTCGAAGACTCTCTTAGGATCCAAAGACAGTCCGTTTCCCCTTATGGATTATAGCTTCACATGAAGTCATGATGATAGCATTGAGTTGACTCTGTCCACAGTAACCCATATACTAACACATTGTCTGGGGAGAGCCTTCAAACTAATGAATGAGATGATTACAGCTAATGAGAGCCCATGCAGGCAGGCCCAGGTCACAGAGGAGCAGTAATGAGAAGTTGACTCAAAGCATGCTTGTGTTCAGTAGGGAGGCAGAGTTCACTGATGTATCTGCAATGCATCATAGAAAGAGAGCGAGGGAGAGAGTGCGAGAGAGAGAGAGAGAGTAGCAGACAAGATGTCCTTACCTGAGAGGTAATGCTGACATGTTTGAGGGTAAGGTCTGGAAAACAATAACGGAGAGAGAGAGAGTAGCAGAGAAGATGTCCTTACCTGAGAAGTAATTCTGACATGTTTGAGGGTAAGGTCTGGAAAACAATAACGGAGAGAGAGAGAGTAGCAGAGAAGATGTCCTTACCTGAGAAGTAATGCTGACATGTTTGAGGGTAAGGTCTGGAAAACAATAACAGAGAGAGAGAGTAGCAGAGAAGATGTCCTTACCTGAGAAGTAATGCTGACATGTTTGAGGGTAAGGTCTGGAAAACAATAATAGAGAGAGAGAGAGTAGCAGAGAAGACGTCCTTACCTGAGAAGTAATGCTGACATGTTTGAGGGTAAGGTCTGGAAAACAATAACAGAGAAAGAGTAGCAGAGAAGATGTCCTTACCTGAGAGGTAATGCTGACACGTTTTAGGGTAAGGTCTGGAAAACAATAACAATAATGAAGAATAATGTAAATATGGATGTCAGTGACGATGATTATATGAAAGCATTATGTGACATAAGATCATTGAATCACTCTATTTGTTTAAAAAACACTCACCAAGGACATGGTCCCCAGAATGAAGCTTGGCCCATAGAAGAACCCCCTCCCTAGACACAAGAGAGAAATACAATTATAAATACTATTCTAAAAGAGAGATATACAATTATAAATACTATTCTAAAGAGTGAAATACTGTTATAAATGGTATTCTAAAGGGAGAAATACTATTATAAATACTATTCTAAAGGGAGAAATACTATTAGAAATACTATTCTAAAGGGAGAAATACTATTAGAAATACTATTCTAAAGAGTGGAATACTATTAGAAATACTATTTTAAAACATCTCATGCTCTATGATATTACTGTACTTCCCTGAAAGTTGGAGACTCATAGATAGATGATCCAACACCCACCTTTTACGCTTTTCTTCCGCCATTGCCTTAACTGAACAATGGAAAGAGAAAAGAGAGAGAAGAGAAAAATTAAGCGAGAAGGTGTAATGTCTGTGATGTCACAGTAGGTCACATTTTGAATGGTAAAGGGCATTTCTTCAAATGTTTACTAGCCTGGTCCCAGATCAGTTTGTGCTGTCTTGCCAACTCCTATTAAGGTCAACCGTAAGGTCAACCGCTCCTGGTTGACGAGAGCACAAACTGATCTGGGAACAGAGTATAGGTTAACAGGTGTAACAGTACCTTTCCTCTGCACCGCCACACCCATGCCCACCATTGCAGTGATGAACAGAACTAGAGCAGAAAGAGATCCCAACACCAGAGGCCAGTCCACACCAGTCAGCCCTACCAGAAAGACAATATTACCTGTCAATCAATGAGCTCTCATATACAGATGTAGTATCTTAGTTTGAGCCAGTTTCCTACAGCAGGAAAATAATCCTGCAGCAACAGGAAATGTGAATTATTATGTAGATTATAATTAATGGACATTTTTGTAGAAGTTGGAGAAATAAAAATATAAGGAAAAATCTGTGGATATTACAACCTTCCGAAGCCTTTTTAAACCTCAAATGCACTACACGTTTTTAATTTCATGCATTGCAGGAAAGTTCTCCTGCAACAGGGTGATCAAATTAAGATCCTACATCTGTAGAGTAGGCTACACATAAAATACCCAGCACCAGGCCCACACTGTGTCTAATATCAATACCCAGCACCAGGCCCACACTGTGTCTAATATCAATACCCAGCACCAGGCCCACACTGTGTCTAATATCAATACCCAGCACCAGGCCCACACTGTGTCTAATATCAATACCCAGCACCAGGCTCACACTGTGTCTAATATCAATACCCAGCACCAGGCTCACACTGTGTCTAATATCAATACCCAGCACCAGGCCCACACTGTGTCTAATATCAATACCCAGCACCAGGCTCACACTGTGTCTAATATCAATACCCAGCACCAGGCCCACACTGTGTCTAATATCAATACCCAGCACCAGGCTCACACTGTGTCTAATATCAATACCCAGCACCAGGCTCACACTGTGTCTAATATCAATACCCAGTCAGACAGGGATTTGTTGATTGTAGTATTTCAGTGAGTTACCTGGCGAAGAGGGAGGGGAGGTGGTGGTCTTTTCTGGAAGACAATGACAGACAATATTATAGGTGGAAAATAATTCCAGCTGCCTCTTGAGTGGTATGAGTTGATGCACACAGGCTCAGACAAACACAGAAATCAGAGACACAGACCTATGACTCTCGACACAGCCAGTGGTGGACTTCTCTCTGAGTGGCTCCACTCTGCTCCCAGCAGGGCACTGTATTGGCACTGGTACTGGTCCGACAGCGGGCCGTCCTGGGCAGGCAGGGACGAGAGAGCAAAAAGGGCCCGGTGGCGGGTAACGGGGGCACTACGGGTGGCATCAGGGAAGCTACTTCCCAGCTGGTATAGAGAGAAGCGGGCACCAGGGAAGGCAGGTGAGCCGGTACACACCAAGGCCCACTCCCCAGCCTGCCTCTGGAGCGAGAGAGTGGGCACCGGCAATAGCTCTGGGATGGCAGGCCCACCAGAGAAAAGAGGGAGAGAGAGTACGTGTATCAGATTTCCTCACACACAATCCTAACCTTAACCATTGGGAATACAATAACTATCTGACATTACATAACTGACATCAGTATCTAGCTGCAACTTCAACCCCCAACCAAATCTCCCACCTGTGACCGTGACAAGAACTGGATGACTGGCGGTTGAATTAGTCGGTCCCTGACAAGGCACTGTAACCTGGTAGAGGCAGGTGTAGGACCCCCCCTCGCCTCCCCTCACAGGCCCCAGGCGGAAGGCTCCGGTCTGGGCTGTGGAGCGGGACGCCAGGGAGGCCTGGGGGTAGACCACGGAGTCCCCAGTCGCTTTAGCTGTCCACAGCAGTAGAAATGCCTCTGGTTTGGGGCTCTGCTGGGAGTGAGGAGGAGGGGGGGAGCAGTGGAAGGATAATGTCTGGCCGCGCTTCACCTGACCACCTGGGGGATCAACTGAGAGGAGGGGTGGGAGGAGAGGAGGAGGAGGAGGAGGAAGAGCTCTAGGAGAGGCTACAGAGAGAGAGAGAGAGAGAGAATAAAGGGGTTGTAATGGTGAAGTCTTATGCCCTAGTATAAGAGAAGTAAAGAAGGGAGTATTCTTTCAACTCCAGAGCTTGTTACTTTTGTCATGAACTTTATCAAATCAAATAGTCTATAGGCATTGTGTACCCAAATAAGCAGCTGAAACTATACATTTAGATATTGGATATTTGAGGTAATTTGAGAAGTGCCATTGAAAGTTACCCTCTGTTGTCATTCACACTTCCTGCCTTAACCGTCAACATAGCTTGATGTGTGGTTTCTATATAACCAGCAGGATGTAATGGTACAATACACACACAGCGCTAGAGGAAATGTAACCACTGAGAAACCTACGGCAGTTTTGCTGGTGGTGGAGAAGCGGATGGGAGTGTTTATTGTCTCCCACCACCAGTGGCTTTAAACCTAGCATACATCTCAGAACCGTTTCTCACTTTGAAATAGCATTTCCATTTACTGTTACAATAAATCTGAGAAAAGATTTCTGTGACTATGATTATCATCATTATTTGTAGTGATCATGGTGCTTGCAGTAGGTTCTGTCCCAGATTCACAGCTTCACAGTAGTCAACTACCTGATTCAGAATCATCAATCATAAAACTCACCTTGTTGTTTCAGAGTCATATAGTGGCTGTATGAGCTATACATCCCCTGGCTGTTCTGATACAGGCAGCAGTATATATCCTCCCGGGCTGAATCCTCCTTCACTCTCACTGTGAACCGGGCCTCCTGTCTCTCACTGGGGAAAGTAATGGAGTCCACCAGCTTTTTAACCCGGTGGAGTCTGAACAGGGTCCCTCCAGGGCCCTCAGGGGCCTGACAGACTAGGACCACAGCCCCCAGGATGGTGTTGCCTACAGAGGAGGCCTGGGTGAGGGAGGGTGTTGGGGGGATGGCCGGAAGGGGGTCTGAGGATACTGTATCTGGGGAGGAGCAGTCAAGTTTGAGACCCAGTAATAGTAAACACTGTATTCCACTAAACAGATCTCAGACACAGGAGGCTCATAATAATGTCCAGAACGGAGTAAATGGAATGGCATCAAACACCTGGAAATCATGTATTTGATACCATTCGACTTATTCCGCTCCAGTCATCACCACGAGCCCATCCTCCCCAATTAAGGTGCCACCAACCTCCTGTGATCTAGGATCACATTACCCCACTCAAATATACTTTTTAAATTGTCAGGAAATAAAGATGACAGAACAGAGAGGCCAAACATAATTGAAATATCTCTGTAACTGAAATGGCTCAAGTTCTTTACCCTGAAATCTATAGCGTAAGTGTCAGTAAATTCCTATTCAAAGTACTTACCCCAAAATTGTAGATAACAGATAAGCAGAACAAATATCCAACGTGATAGATGGTATCGACAGACAAGCATCTTTGAAGGTGCAAGCAGCCTCTCTTCTGTGTGGGTGTGGAAGCATCTGCTCTAGGTAGAGGCAAACAGGATCTGCTGTGTGTGTGTGTGCGTGTGTGTGTGTGTGTGTGTGTGTGTGTGTGAAAAGTATGACATCTTAAAATAGGAATGAGGGGAAGTAGAATATACAAGCACACTTCCTTTTAAGGGGTTTGTTAATGGGATGTTAGGTTATATAATAATAAACCAAAACCCTGGTGTGTGGATGCATGCATACTGCACACAGAGTATGAGACTGAGTATACAAAACATTAAGAACACCTGCTCTTTCCATGACATAGACTGGCCAGATGAATCCAGGTGAAAACTATGATCCCTTATTGACGTCACTTGTTTAAATCAACTTCAATCAGTGTAGATGAAGGGGAGGAGACAGGTTAAAGAAGGATTTATAAGCCTTGAGACAATTGAGCCATGCATGGATTGTGTATGTGTGCCATTGAGGGTGAATGGGCAAGACAAAATATTTAAGTGCCTTTGGGATGTGAGGTCATAGAATGGTATGGTAGTATGTGCCAGGCACACTGGTTTGTGTCAAGAACTACAACGCTGCTGGGTTTTTCACACTCAACAGTTTCCTGTGTGTATCAAGAATGGTCCACCACCCAAAGGACATCGAGCCAACTTGACACAACTGTGGGAAGCATTGGAGTCAACTTGGGCCAGTATCCCGGTTGAATGCTTTCGACACCTTTGCTTTCGACACCTTGTAGACTCCATGCGCCGACGAATTGAGGCTGTTCTCTTTAAGTAGTCTTCACAAGTTCATTAATCATATGGGTAAATAGGCTACATGGACAGAGCAGACACAATAAAGTAGTGTAATCAATCTGGAGTCGCCTTGCAGTACAACACTGACACCTAGTGGATGAAAAGTTGCACTGCCGTCCTGCTATACAGTTGTAGAACTTAATAACATAATAAAACCAAACTTTAACGCTATTTAAAGTCAAATCAATTGTGATTTTAACATCATATTTCAATGGAATTCATTTATTTTGTGATATTTAATGTATTGCTTTGACATTTATTAAACAAAGGGATATATCGATTAGCTCTGGTCCATGGTCTGAGTGCGTGTTCCTCTACTAGCCTCTACCAGTGAAGGACTGCGCCCTGGACCGAAGCTAGATATCGATTTCAAAGTGGTGACAGTGCGTTTGCTGCGTAAATGCGGCGCAATAATCGAGGTGTCCACGGCGGAGGTGTCATAATGCCCATAAAACCTAACGGTCAAACAGGGAAATGGTTCTAATCGTTTTTCCACCATTAATTTTTCACATAGGGTATTTTATAAACACTTAAAAATAACTGGAGGACTCCAAATATGCGGAACAAGTGGAGGACTCCAAATATGAGGAACAGGTATTGATACACACGAAACACAGCCCCTTATTTTAAGTGTTTCTAAAATCCCATATTGGAAAAATGAATGGTGGAAAAACGATTTCCCTGTTTGACCGGTTTTATGGGTATTATGATGGTACTCTATGCCAATACTTATTAACTTTGAAAATAGATTGTTGAACCTAACCACAGGAGGCTGCTGAGGGGAGAACTGTTCATAATAATGGCCAGAACAGAGCACATGGAATGGCATCAAACACCTGGAAACCATGCGTTTGATGTATTTGTTACCATTCCACCAATTCCACTCCAGTCATTACCACGAGCAGGTTCTCCCCAATTAAGGTGCCACCAACCTCCTGTGAACCTAACAGTATGGATTTGGCAGTCTTTAACCTAAAGCTCCCTCTTGCTTGTCGCTTTCTTGATCATTTTAGCAAAACAAAATTATTGAAATCACAGTATTTTTACTGTGATTAGTGGATACTCTTCTCAAAATTTTGTTCATTGAATAATTCGTTGCTCTCCTGGGATGTAATATTTATCATCAAAATGGATGATAAAGTCATCACTGAACCTCTCCTTCCGTGGAGGACTCCAAATATGAGGAACAGGTATTGATGCACAACTTTCAGACATTCTTTAGTTAGAAAAAAATCTGCAATGGTTGCACTGCTTTTCACAATGTTCTACAATTGCAACCGTGGCAATTAAGAATCAATTCATCAAACATTCCAGATACACAAATATGACAGTTTTGAATAGGAATGTCCGTTCTATAAGTTCTAATTCTATGGTTGTCACAGCAGCAGCCATTACATCAGAACAGACATACACTGTACATGCCTTATCGATAGAGAGATAGAAAAGAGATTTTACATTTACATTTTAGATTTTAGTCATTTAGCAGACGCTCTTATCCAGAGCGACTTACAGTTAGTGAGTGCATACATTTTCATACTTTTGAAAGTTATGTCTGGAAAACTTGATCTCCGACATGCAAAACATCTTGGGACCATATCAACAATGGACTAATGAAACAAACACCAACAAATAGTTTTAGGTGGAGTTTTCCTTTAAGGTTAGGATTGGGGATGCGAATCTTAGATCTGTTCCTAGTTGAAACTTCACCCTGGAGCGATACAGTACCTGTCAAAGTCGTGTGGTAGCAGGCGATGGCCTCGCTGTATCAGGCTGTCCCAGTACAGGAGCTCTTCATAGGCCTGGTGTTCGTCCCAGACTGCATCCGGCACTGGCTCTGCTGCCATAGCCATGACCCTGTCTTTACTGCCACCTGTGTGACACCTGAGTCTGATAGATATCTGATTCATTTTAATATTCATAATGAAGGTTTCAGGAATTGAGAGAGAGGATTCAGAGGAGACCGCTGCGAGAGATAGAAACTGAAACTCATTCTACATTTACATCATTTACATTTACGTCATTTAGCAGACGCTCTTATCCAGAGCGACTTACAAATAGGTGCATTCACCTTATAGCCAGTGGGATAACCACTTTACAATATTATTATTTTTTTGGGGGGGGGGGGGTTGGAGTAAGGGGTGGGGTAGAAGGATTACTTTATCCTATCCCAGGTATTCCTTAAAGAGGTGGGGTTTCAAATGTCTCCGGAAGGTGGTGAGTGACTCCGCTGTCCTGGCGTCGTGAGGGAGCTTGTTCCACCATTGGGGTGCCAGAGCAGCGAACAGTTTTGACTGGGCTGAGCGGGAACTATGCTTCCGCAGAGGTAGGGGAGCCAGCAGGCCAGAGGTGGATGAACGCAGTGCCCTCGTTTGGGTGTAGGGACTGATCAGAGCCTGAAGGTACGGAGGTGCCGTTCCCCTCACAGCTCCATAGGCAAGCACCATGCTCTTGTAGCAGATGCGAGCTTCAACTGGAAGCCAGTGGAGTGTGCGGAGGAGCGGGGTGACGTGAGAGAACTTGGGAAGGTTGAACACCAGACGGGCTGCGGCATTCTGGATGAGTTGTAGGGGTTTAATGGCACAGGCAGGGAGCCCAGCCAACAGCGAGTTGCAGTAATCCAGACGGGAGATGACAAGTGCCTGGATTAGGACCTGTGCCGCTTCCTGTGTAAGGCAGGGTCGTACTCTCCGAATGTTGTAGAGCATGAACCTACAGGATCGGGTCACCGCCTTGATGTTAGCGGAGAACGACAGGGTGTTGTCCTGGGTCACGCCAAGGCTCTTTGCACTCTGGGAGGAGGACACAACGGAGTTGTCAACCGTGATGGCGAGATCATGGAACAGGCAGTCCTTCCCCGGGAGGAAGAGCAGCTCCGTCTTGCCAAGGTTCAGCTTGAGGTGGTGATCCGTCATCCATACTGATATGTCTGCCAGACATGCAGAGATGCGATTCGCCACCTGGTTATCAGAAGGGGGAAAGGAGAAGATTAGTTGTGTGTCGTCAGCGTAGCAATGATAGGAGAGGCCATGTGAGGATATGACAGAGCCAAGTGACTTGGTGTATAGCGAGAATAGGAGAGGGCCTAGAACTGAGCCCTGGGGGACACCAGTGGTGAGAGCACGTGGTGCGGAGACAGCTTCTCGCCACGCCACTTGGTAGGAGCGACCGGTCAGGTAGGACGCAATCCAAGAGTGAGCCGCGCCGGAGATGCCCAGCTCGGAGAGGGTGGAGAGGAGGATCTGATGGTTCACAGTATCAAAGGCAGCAGACAGGTTTAGAAGGACAAGAGCAGAGGAGAGAGAGTTAGCTTTAGCAGTGCAGAGAGCCTCCGTGACACAGAGAAGAGCAGTCTCAGTTGAATGACCAGTCTTGAAACCTGACTGGTTTGGATCAAGAAGGTCATTCTGAGAGAGATAGCAAGAGAGTTGGCTAAAGACGGCACACTCAATAGTTTTGGAGAGAGCTGGTAAGGACTAAAGGACAAAGAGCAGACAAAACAATACAGTTTACAGGCAGAAAGTTTAGTTTTGTACCCACAATGAACACTAGTTGTTGTTTTCTCAGTATCACTTCTCTCCTGTGATGCCGTAGAATTTAATGCTAAAACGAACAATATGTTGTTACACACAGACCTGGGTTGCCCACAGGCGCAGTAAACTGATGAAGCTGGAGAAGGAGCTCTGCAATGAGCTCAGGATTAAACAAAGAGCTCAGGGTTGAACAAAGTTCTCAGTTCAACAGAAAGATACAGTGCATTCGGAAAGTATTCAGACCCCTTTACTTTTTCCACATTTTGTTACGTTACAGCCTTATTCTAAAATGGATTAAATTCAATATTTTCCTCATCAATCTACACACAATACCCCATAATGACAAAGCGAAAACTGGTTTTTAGAAATGTTTGCAAATGTATACACTTTTTTTAAATATACCTTATTTATATAAGTATTCAGACCCTTTGCTATGAGACTCGATGCATCAGGTGCATCCTGTTTCCATTGATCATCCTTGAGATGTTTTTACAACTTGATTGGAGACCACCTGTGGTAAATTCGATTGATTGGACATGATTTGGAAAGGTGCACACCTGTCTATATAAGGTCCCACAGTTGACAGTGCATGTCAGAGCAAAAACCAAGCTATGAGGTCGAAGGAATTGTCCGTAGAACACAGTGGCATCCATCATTTTTACATGGAAGAAGTTTGGAACCCCCAAGACTCTTCCTAGACCTAGCTGCCCGGCCAAATTGAGCAATCGGGGGAGAAGGGCCTTGGTCAGGGAGGTGACCAAGAACCCAATGGTCACTCTGACAGAGCTCCAGAGTTCCTCTGTGGAGATGGGAGAACCTTCCAGAAGGACAATCATCTCTGCAGCACTCCACTAATTAGGCCTTTATGGTAGAGTGGCCAGATGGAAGGCACTCCTCAGTAAAAGGCACATGACAGCCTGTTTAGAGTTTGCCAAAAGCCACCTAAAGGACTATCAGACCATGAGAAACAAGATTCTCTGGTCTGATGAAACCAAGATCGAACTCTTTGGCCTGAATGCTAAGTGTCATGTCTGTAGGAAACCTGGCACCATCCTACGGTGAAGCATGGTGGTGGCAGCATCATGCTGTGGGGATGTCTTTCAGCGGCAGGGACTGGGAGACTAGTCAGGATCGAGGGAAAGATGAACTGAGAAAAGTACAGAGAGATCCTTGATGAAAACCTGCTGCAGAGTGCTCAGGACTGGGGCGAAGGTTCACCTTCCAACAGGACGACGACCCTAAGCACACAGCCAAGGCAACGCAGGAGTGGCTTCGGGACAAGTCTCTGAATGTCCTTGAGTGGTCCAGCCAGAGGCCGGACATGAACCCGATCGAACATCTCTGGAGAGACCTGAAAATAGCTGTGCAGCAATGCTCCCCATCCAACATGACAGAGCTTGAGAGGATCTGCAGAGAAGAATGGGAGAAACTTGTAGCGTCATACCCAAGAAGACTCGAGGCTGTAATCGCTGCCAAAGTGTGTGAATACATGTGTAAATGTGATATTAACATTTATTTATTTTTTATAAATCTGCAAAAATGTCAAAAAAACTGTTTTTGTTTTGTCCTTATGGGGTATTGTGTGTATATTGATGAGGTGAACAATTTTTTTTTAATCAATTTTAGAACAAGGCTGTAACGTAATTTTTTTTGGAAAAGATCAAGGGGTCTGAATACTTTCCGAATGCATTGTATGTCAACATCTTTGCAATGTACACAATGCCTTGTCAATACACTCCTTATATCTCTGGACACATACAAGAAACTTTGTTTTATATTTGGTAAGAAAAGTATGAAAATATCTTAGTGACATCCTTTTGCATAAACTGCTTATCACAGAACAAAAATACTGTATACAATAAATATTGTTTGATAAAATGTTTGTCTCTTTCATTTGAAGATTACTCTGTGTCCACTTCGACCGTCATCGTTGGAGATCAACCTTAATGACATGCTCTGGAACTTTGGCGACAACTAAGTATTTTATAAACATCCCGCTTTGGGCTGGATTTGTCAATATGTAGTTCATAAATGCATAATCTATGAGCAGAATTCCATAGTTTGAAAGCGGCTGTTTTTCTGGAAGCTGTGCTGCTCCATTTTCCCTCCATTTTCCCCCACGTGGGCCTGCCCCCAACAATTTGAGTTTTGCCAATGAGCTTCAGCCCCTCTACAATTGACAGCTAGCAAGATGCACACCCAGCAGAGAGAGAGAGAGAGAGCAATGACGTGGTGCACATATCTGCACATATGGCATGTAGTACACCCTTTTCGGGGACCACTTCTGGCTCATGAGTGCTACTTTCAGAACTACTGGCAAAAAAATATACAAAAGTACTGGAGAATCTCTTTAAGCAAAACCTCCTCTCTGTCATGGCCGAACTTCCTCAGAGCATCATGGCGATAAGTGACCTTCAAGGCTCACTCTCGTCTCACTCCACCGAGCACCCTGGGTCTTCCGTCGCTGTCGCCTTTGATCAGGCCAATCACTACACCGACACTGGATCGAAAACACAGTTGACCCTAGTTGATGGTACAATGGACACCATCTGCCATGGCTTTGAAGGACATTGAAGCAAAGCTTCATAAGACTTCATCCAGGATCATGTTCCCATGGCAGGTGGTGGTCTTAGACACAACCAGCCAACGGATCCTGATCCAAACATTGGGCAGGATCAATCACGAGGCCTTCACCAACAAGGACCTCAACTCGGAGGTGAGTCCCCTCATGGCAGAGGTCACCATCCTGCTGAAGACCTTTCCGTTGGTCCTGGTCACCGAGGATGAAGACATGGCAAATATCTTCCTGAAATTCTCAGACGTGATCATGACGCTGGACCTTGTGGTGGGCTCGCGGAAGGATCTTGAGAAGGTCGTCGCCAACTGATCATTCAGCTTGAGCAGCTACATCTCCCATGTAGTGGCTCTGAAGGTGGCCAAGCGCATACCGGATGAGTTTTCCGCGTCAGAGAAAGAGGCAGGGATCCCATTGAAGACGCTGAGGCGAGTCAGCATTCCCTTGACCTATATCAGGGATGGGCCGCAGTGACTTGTGGGTCTGCGTACCATTTTAGCAGCGAAGAGAACAAATTAGATTTTAAAGTTAATTTCCTGCAATTCTGCACATTTTGCCATGTGGCGTAGAGAAAATGTTGCAGTTTTAAAGCAAGTTTCCTGCAATTCTACACATTTTGCCATGGGGCAGAGAGAAGATTTAGCAATTTTATAACTAATTTCATGCAATTCTACTCATTTTGCCATGGGGTGGAGAGAAATAAATTTTAGTTTTACAGCTAATTTCCTGCAATTCTAAACATTTTGCCATAGGGTGGAGGCAAATGTTTGCAGTTTTTAATATGATAACTGATGATCAATGGGCCCCACCCCGGTCGGTAATTCGACCATGCTTACTAAAAGTTTAGCTAGCTAGCCGCTAGACTAATTTACCAATCTAAAAATAAAATGCTGACATGGGCTAATTGAGTGACTGCTGATGCACAACCAAATTTCGAAATTGCACCTTGTGTATTCTATTATTCTAACTCTCAACAGTAAGTTGAGACCCCGACTGAGTTCCTAAATATATTTTTATTTATTTAAAACATGTATTGGTCCGTGGGCCTACAAAAGGGGGCCCCCTTTCTGACCTACACGATAAGCAGCGCGTTTGTTGACGACGTCATGATTAAACTCCTGCTACAGCTGAACCCCCCTCAACTGCTCTCATTCGACCTCCGCCAAGCAGGACCTGCTGGCTCTCTGCATTAAGATGAGCATCATCATTCACCAGGTCCTGAGTAAGATCGCAGGTGTGGCCATTGACGGGGACCTTCCACCACCTGGCTGCAACATGAAGCTGGTGTTGCTCTGCCTGCTAAGTGTGATGCAGATCCGGTGTTGGTCATCTGCCTCGGTCAAAGACCCTTCCATCGTTGCCACCATGATCCAGCTTATATTAGATCAAATCCACCGGATGTGCCAGTCCATCAACCGGATTGGAGGCTTACCCGGAAAACCTGATCAGAACCCGGACGACGTCGCCATTGGGAAAGAGCTGTTTTCTGAGCCCCTGCCAGAGTCACTGACCACAGCCTATTGTCTGCAGTTTGGCCCCAGTGTGAAGTTCATGAGGATCTTCAAGAGGGCATTTGGCCAAGACCACCAAGTGGCCAAGCACATGCTCCACTGGAGGTCAACCAATATCTTTGTGGACTTTGATGCCACCTATAACATTGAAAACATGATTTCCCTCAACGGCTGCACTGAGGTATATTTCAACCAAAGGTGAAGCCTTTAGAGGAGGAGGACTTTCAAGAGGTGAAGCCTCTGGGGAAGTAGTCTCTGGAGGTGAAGGCTCTGGGGAAGTAGTCTCTGGAGGTGAAGGCTCTGGGGAAGTAGTCTCTGGAGGTGAAGCCTCTGGGGAAGTAGTCTCTGGAGGTGAAGCCTCTGGGGAAGTAGTCTCTGGAGGTGAAGGCTCTGGGGAAGTAGTCTCTGGAGGTGAAGGCTCTGGGGAAGTAGTCTCTGGAGGTGAAGGCTCTGGGGAAGTAGTCTCTGGAGGTGAAGCCTCTGGGGAAGTAGTCTCTGGAGGTGAAGGCTCTGGGGAAGTAGTCTCTGGAGGTGAAGCCTCTGGGGAAGTAGTCTCTGGAGGTGAAGCCTCTGGGGAAGTAGTCTCTGGAGGTGAAGGCTCTGGGGAAGTAGTCTCTGGAGGTGAAGCCTCTTGGGAAGTAGTCTCTGGAGGTGAAGGCTCTGGGGAAGTAGTCTCTGGAGGTGAAGCCTCTGGGGAAGTAGTCTCTGGAGGTGAAGCCTCTGGGGAAGTAGTCTCTGGAGGTGAAGGCTCTGGGGAAGTAGTCTCTGGAGGTGAAGCCTCTGGGGAAGTAGTCTCTGGAGGTGAAGCCTCTGGGGAAGTAGTCTCTGGAGGTGAAGGCTCTGGGGAAGTAGTCTCTGGAGGTGAAGGCTCTGGGGAAGTAGTCTCTGGAGGTGAAGGCTCTGGGGAAGTAGTCTCTGGAGGTGAAGCCTCTGGGGAAGTAGTCTCTGGAGGTGAAGCCTCTGGGGAAGTAGTCTCTGGAGGTGAAGCCTCTGGGGAAGTAGTCTCTGGAGGTGAAGGCCTCTGGGGAAGTAGTCTCTGGAGGTGAAGGCTCTGGGGAAGTAGTCTCTGGAGGTGAAGCCTCTGGGGAAGTAGTCTCTGGAGGTGAAGGCTCTGGGGAAGTAGTCTCTGGAGGTGAAGCCTCTGGGGAAGTAGTCTCTGGAGGTGAAGGCTCTGGGGAAGTAGTCTCTGGAGGTGAAGCCTCTGGGGAAGTAGTCTCTGGAGGTGAAGCCTCTGGGGAAGTAGTCTCTGGAGGTGAAGCCTCTGGGGAAGTAGTCTCTGGAGGTGAAGCCTCTGGGGAAGTAGTCTCTGGAGGTGAAGCCTCTGGGGAAGTAGTCTCTGGAGGTGAAGCCTCTGGGGAAGTAGTCTCTGGAGGTGAAGCCTCTGGGGAAGTAGTCTCTGGAGGTGAAGCCTCTGGGGAAGTAGTCTCTGGAGGTGAAGCCTCTGGGGAAGTAGTCTCTGGAGGTGAAGGCTCTGGGGAAGTAGTCTCTGGAGGTGAAGGCTCTGGAGGTGGTGGAGAAGGAGGTGGAGAAGGATGTGGAGAATGAGGTTGAGAAGTAGGTGGACATTTTGGCAATTAAATAATTGCTTGCAAATATAAACATTTCACATTAATATAATCTGATTATTAGTACAATTCATGTATACCGATACAGTACATTGAATTATATTACACCAATGATGGCACAAATTCTGTACAATGATGATGGCATAATATACATGTTATTAGTGGCTAGGGCATTCATAACACTTAAGTGTAGCTCCTTTCTAACACAAGGTTTTTCCCTAGTAGTACTTCTCTGTAGACGTAAAGTGAAAGATTGTTAAAAAAAAGTGTGAGAGAGTCTTTATCTGTGTATGGAGCAGTCAACAGGGCCAGGCAGTAGTCCGCAGCACCATTATCTGTTGTCAAACAGGGGCCTCTCTTGGCCCCCATACAGACTGATAAACACAGCCCACCACATAATCACCTACTACACACACAGGTCTTCTCAGAACCATATGTCCCAGAGGTGTGTGTACTGCTCAATGTGTGTGTAGCAGTTGTAGTAGTGGGGGAGGAGAGTTTGAGTTGGTTCATGAAGCTGAAAGCTGAATGAAGAGGCAAATGTCAGTATGGTATTCTGCTTGCAATGTATGCCATAACGTTGTGTCAGAGAAACACAAATTCTAATACACTTGAAATTACATTTTCAGTTGTTTTGTGCAAAACAAAGTGCATAACATTAATTAGCTAGAATTACATCAGTTTGGAATTGTTTTGCTGGCCATAGATTGGTGTTGTCAGCATCATACAGGTTGGATTTCTACTCAGGATCCAGAAACAGGAAGGTAGCGGGGGGGGAGATAGCACAACTGTTCATTCACTCTTTCTCCTGGTTTAGAAGAGAGGACTGGAGTAAGAAAAGGAGTTGGCATAGTACACACACTTACGTCCCACCCCCAACGGTCATCAGAAGATACATGAATAGAGAAGATTTGAAGTCACGTCCAAACTGAGAGAGAAGAGAGAAAGAGGGGGGGATACGGTAGAGGGGTAGAATGGAGAGACGACAGCTGTAAAAAAAGAGAAGTAGGCTACTTGCTATGTCAAATTGGATAAGAGACAGGTGGAACTGTTTTCGGGAGGACTGGTTACTTAACATTTGCAATAGTCTAAGCATTGTGAGATGGTCATGTAAAAGAAAACACAAACCTCACAATATTGTCACCACTGTAAGCCGTGTAAAGTTGACATCTATCTCTAACTGATCAGATGGCTGGGATACAAGCTGCTGTGCTACCATCCTTTAGCTCCTTCTCAAACTTTGTTCACTCTAATGACAATATGAAGGTATGTATTCCACTTGTTATTTTATTTCTACATTTTGCTGAAACAATTAAAAAAACTGGAATAACTTTGTTTTAAGAGGGTGAGTGTTGGGGCTAATAGCAGTGTCTAAATGCCATTAACATTTCTTTGAACAAAATGTTTTGACTCGCAATGAAGAGGCATTGTGAGCACAAGCACAGCCTCATATCCCCAACAAAGCCAAAACATTTAATAAAATACATTTATTTTGATTTAAGACCTGTTCAAATCAAATGGATTTTATTTCAAAAGTAATTACAAAACTAGGATTTAATTATAAAATGGTTAATTGCAATTGCATTTTTAGTGTTATTTTAACTTGTTAGTTGGTGTTGTTTGGTTTTTAGAGTAAAATATTATTTCCATATTTATGTGAAGTTAGAGAGGCTTGATATGAACTGATGTTTTTGTACTATCACACAAGGTGTGGAAATTTGAGGATGGCGCTCTCAGTCTGGACTCTCAAACCAAGAGGACGTCACCTGGCAACACCAGTGACCAGCAGCCGGTTCTTCCTCACCTGGACGATGAAAGTGAAACCTCATGGGACATGGAGTTCTTGTTGTCTGACTGGAGCAGCCCATCACCTGAGCTGAACCCCTCTCTGGACTACAACACTCAGCATCTTCCTCAACCGGACCAAACTGGACTGTACCATGATGGAGGAGGGGTGTTGAAGGACCAAATAATTCCAGACAGGCTTCATATGGGCAGCAGTAGCCTGATGGGTGAGCTGCTCACCCCCTTGGAGACCATTGGTTCAGGCATACCAGAACTCTACAACTGGTCCTTTAGTGATGACCAACAGGTTCGATCATCATCATCATTATCATCATTCCCCACTCAACCAGACGTGGACCAGTATGGTTTCACCCCCGGTAGAAACCAGGAGAGACATGGCAGCGATAGAGCCACTGCTGTCCTCACTAAGGCCAAATCATGGGACTTTGGAATGGGACACTACTACCCCAAACAATACACTTCCATGGTGACCTTTCAAGATGGAAGATTCCTCCAAGCCCCTGTCTCCATGACAACCTCTATGACCTCTGAACCTCGAACCCACCACTACAGCGTCCTCCAAAACTACCCCCACCACCCGGGTCTATACCGCAACCAGAACAACTACAATCTCCACAACCACCACCACCAACAAGCCTCCTCCAGCCACTTCCCCCACTCCCAGCCCCAGCAGCCCCATCTGGCTGTCTACTCAGGGGTTCCCCCTGGTGACTTGGAGGGGAAGCGCAGCCGCAGGATGGTGGTGAAGAAGAGGGCTGCCATCCACAGCTGTGAATACCCAGGATGTAGTAAGACATATACCAAGAGCTCCCACCTCAAGGCTCACCTCCGCACGCACACAGGTAAGAATACATCAATTAGAATACATTACACAGGTAAGAATACATCAATTAGAATACATTACACAGGTAAAAATACAGAGATTAGAATACATTACACCAGTAAGAATACAGAGATTAGAATACATTACACAGGTAAGAATACAGAGATTAGAATACATTACACTGGTATTGAGGCATTAATGCATAATGCATATTCATTACATATTCATTACGGCTAATAGGCAGAACTGCATGATGGACAACTTCATATGGATAAATAATGATTTATGGCTTTTAGTAGTAATGGCTATTGAATAGAAAAAGTCTAAATGATCCTTGGGATGTCCCAACTCTGACGTCAACCAGTGACTTAACACTAAAAATAAACGTTTACATTTTAGTCACTTAGGAGACGCTCTTATCCAGAGCGACTTACAGTTAGTGGATTCATCTTAAGAGCTAGGTGGGACAACCACATATCACGATCCTTGGGACGTCCCAACTCTGACGTCAACCCATTGAAGTTGAAATGTAAAACGGTTAGAGTTAGGTAAGGGTTATGGTTAGGGTAAGGGTAGGGGTTATGGTTAGGGTAAGGGTAGGGGTTATGGTTAGGGTAAGGGTAGGGGTTATGGTTAGGGTAAGGGTAGGGGTTATGGTTAGGGTAAGGGTAGGGGTTATGGTTAGGGTAAGGGTAAGGGTTATGGTTAGGGTAAGGGTAGGGGTTATGGTTAGGGTAAGGGTAGGGGTTATGGTTAGGGTAGGGGTTATGGTTAGGGTAAGGGTAGGGGTTATGGTTAGGGTAAGGGTAGGGGTTATGGTTAGGGTAAGGGTAGGGGTTAAGGTTAGGGTAAGGGTAGGGGTTATGGTTAGGGTAAGGGTAGGGGTTAAGGTTAGGGTAGGGACGTCCCAAGGATCTTGGACTGCACTAACCCTATTGAATAGGATACAATTTACACTATGAATTATCAACACATTTCTATCAACAAATGCGGAGGGATTACAATTGCTACGGAGTGTTTAAAACAAGTCACTTATGAGCCAACTGATGGCTGATTTTGACACTGGTTGCTTTTGTGTGCTATTGATTCCATAGGGGAAAAACCATACCACTGTACGTGGGAGAGCTGTGGGTGGAAGTTTGCCCGTTCAGACGAGTTGACCCGTCACTACCGTAAACACACGGGTCAGAAGCCCTACGAGTGTCTGCTGTGTCAGAGAGCCTTCTCCCGCTCAGACCACCTGGCCCTGCACATGAAGAGACACACATGATGAGAGGAGAGGAGATGAGAGGAGGATGGGTATGACTGGGGCTGTGTGAGATTATTCACACTAATATGTGTGTACCTGTATACACACACTCTCCACTGTCGTTCTGGTTCTCATTCTCTCTCTCTCTCTCTCTCTCTCTCTCTCTCTCTCTCTCTCGCTCTCTCTCGCTCTCTCTCGCTCTCTCTCTCTCGCTCTCTCTCTTTCTCTCGATCACTCTCTCTCTCTTTCTCTCAATCGCACTCTCTCTCCTGTTGTCGATCACTCTCTCTCTCTCTCTCTCTCTCTCTCTTCTCTCGATCACTCTCTCTCGCTCTCTCTGTGCGGTGCACACACAACTATTAGGCAGAGTAGTGTTATCATGGATGAAGAGGAGACGTGACCACTCAAAGATATACAGTGGATATACGTTGTCCACACACTATAAACAGCTAAAGTAACAAAGAGCCTTACAGTTACAGACTGACTTAACACTAAAAATAAACATTTACATTTTAGTCACTTAGGAGACGCTCTTATCCAGAGCGACTTACAGTTAGTGGATTCATCTTAAGAGCTAGGTGGGACAACCACATATCACAGGCATAGAAAGTACACTTTTCCTCAATAACGTAGTTATTGAAAGGCGGGGTCGGAGTAAAGAGTAAAGAGCAAGTGTTGGTGTTGGAATTATTATTTTTGTATTATTTCTTTGGGGTCGAGGTGAGGAGGGGGATGATTTAAGATACTCTTTGAAGAGGTAGGGTTTCAGGTGCTTTCGGAAGATGGGCAGGGATTCTGCTGTCCTAGCTTCAGGGGGAAGCTGGTTCCACCATTGGGGTGCCAGGACAGAGAAGAGCTTGGACTGGGCTGAGTGGGAGCTGCCCTCCCGTAGGGGTGGGAGGGCCAAGAGACCAGAGGTGGCAGAACAGAGTGCTCAGGTTGGGGTGTAGGGTTTGAGCATTGCCTGAAGGTAAGGAGGGGCAGTTCCTCTTGCTGCTCTTGTAGTGGAGACGTCCAATGGAAGGCAGTCTGGAACCTAGGTTAGGACATTAGCACCCAAAAGGTACACAAAGTTCAAAGGTAAATACAGGCTGTGTCACTGGGGAGTGTCATTTTGGCTGAAACGTTGTATAAGGAACTTCTTACAAATATGTGTTGTTTCTAATATCCGACGCTATATTTATGGATCTTAATATTTCCTGTAAATTATCTGTAGAGAAAAGTTGTTTTATTAAGGCTAAGATGTGTTTCTTAAATTAAGGTTAAGATTTGGTTAAGATATCAACTTTTCATGTGGTAAAAGTTACTATTGTCTTAATTTCATAGAGACAGATCACCTCAACTAAACCACATCGAAAATACACCAAGCAGATCAATTTTGTATAATTTCCAATTTAAAAAATGTATTTATTTGCAAGGCTTTTCATATTAATATAATTAATAACTTCATACTTTTTATATCACTTTGGTAATTGAGTGCTTCAAACTTCTCTCAAAAGTTGTATTTGTATAATTTGCTAATTTTAATAAAGCTATTTGAGTCTGCATGATTCCGTTTGTTTCTAATTTCGAAGTTATCTGCAGTAAAATGTAAATTCATTCAATAAATGTGTACACTTACGAGTGAAGCGCACATGTATCAATGAACCACTAGGCGTCTCTGTTGTATAGGGATATTATGAAGTGATTACATATTTAACTTTTTTGTCATTTAACAGACACTCTTATCCAGAGCAACTTAGTTAACACGTTCATCTTAAGGTAGGTAAGACAACCACATATCACAGTCATAGTAAGTCAAACTGTGTCCTGGCGTTCCACCACTTCATGATTCGTGCAGGTGCAATCACGATTGTCCTTGGTTAGAATTTGAGTTGGATTGGCTTTGGAGTCAAGTACGGTGACATTGTCCGTAGCGCTAACAGTCTCCCTTGCTGATGGGCAGAACGAGCACCAACAAGAGTATGGGGAGATAGCTGCATGACTTTGCTGCGGTCCACATCTTGGGCATCTTCTGAATGTGATGGTGCCCATGGACCTGACTGTGTTTGCTGTTGGACAGCTGGTGTTATTCACAGAGCTGTTGTGTTCTGTTCTACAGGCAGGCAGGCAGGCAGGCAGGCAGGCAGGCAGGCGAGAGAGAGAGAGAGAGAGATAATCTCTTTACATAACCCAGCCGCACTGTGGTGATTCACCCACATTATGGAGCTCATCACTATGTTTGTTTATCTCTCTCTGTCTCTCTCCCTCTGTCTCGCTCTGTCTCTCTGACTCTATTTTCTCTCTCTCTATCTCAATCTCTTTTTCTCTCTTTCTCTCCATCAATCTTTCTTTCTCTCACACACCCACTCTCATTCATACACGCTATTTTGTCTCACACCATCATAACAGACCACATTCTATTACAAATCCACATGATAATGTGATCTAAAAGGCCCATCTGTTTGTTTGTTTCATATTCTGGGCTTCGACAACACGCCACACAAACTCATCTCATCATATTCAGATCATAGTTTGAACGCAAGCATGGATTTCCATATTTATTATAAATAGTGTTTTATTATTTTAAAACGGTCAGTGAACTGACATCCAAGCTTGATGATTACTACTCATAATGGACACAGTGTACTATTGACAGAACATCAACGGATGAGAAGGCTGACGTCAGTATTTGTACCTGTTTGTTACTGTAGGAGAGATGCGGACCGGAGCATGTAGGCCTTAGTTTGAAGCAGGGTCAGGGGTGAAGCAAGGTCAAAGTTGAAGCCAGGTCAGGCTATCTATTTCCATAGATTTAAAGGTAGGCCTAAGTGGACTGATGTCAAAGCCAGATATCTACTCTGTGCTACATTGCAAAATCACACATACCCACTCAAAAATGTCCCCCACTCATGATGATGCATGAATCATGATGAATGATTACACTGGACATGCTGTCTCAAGGACACAAACTATTGGTATTTGCCAAATGGTGCAATATTGACATAGCACCCAGGGATGAAAAGGCTGACCTCAGTATTTGTACCTGTTGGTTACTGTAAGAGCCAGGGTTGGAGTCAATTCAAATTGAAGTCACTCAATTCAGGAAATGATTTGAATTCAACTTTTTTAATAAATAGCTTCTCCTTTTCAGTTGATTGACAAATCGTTGAAAATAAATGTAATTTTTTCCATGATTTAATTTGAATTTCAGTTTACTTCCTGAATTGACTCAACCCTGGTAGGAGCGATGCTAACCTAAGAGGGTGAAGCTGGGCCAAGGGGTGAGGCAAGGTAAGAGTTGAATTAGGGTGCGGCACAGGGCACAGACAACCTGGCATCAGAACTGATGAAAGAGTTCCAAGTGTTCTGTTAGAACCCCCCAACCCCCTACAGATGTGTTGAGCTGGGAAGAGAAGAACAACTAAAAATCATCATATTATCTCATGTTATGGCCCCGTCATTGATAATCATGTATTGTAAGGCACTCTGAGGATAAAACAGAGGGAGGGAGGGAAGGAGAGAGGGGGAAATGGAGGAAAGGTGAGAGGGATTTAGGAGGTAGTATGAGGACAGAGGCTGTGTCATGGCCCACAATGCAACCTTTTCCTTACACCCTCCCTTCTCTCTTTTTCTATTTTTCTCTCATTCTCTCTCTCTCTCAAACAAACATACAAACAGAAAAAACACAGAAAAACATAAACACACCATGAGGGGTGATGTAAGGGAAGACTTGAAACTCAGTGTCCTAAATGACTCTATACATACTGCCCCTCAAATGAATGAATACATTTGTTCAACTCTCTTTCTCTGTCTTTCTCTCTCACTCTGTCTTTGGCAGAATGCACAAAGGGGAAAACAAGTGACAATTCTCCCTGGTGTTCTTTGAGGATCCTCCTACCCTAACCCTAGCTTCATGTACACACCTCGGTTCAACCCTAACTACAGCCATTTCCCTAACCCTCAGCCCTAACCCTAACCCTCAACCCTTACCCTAACCTAAGCTTCATGTTTACACCCCAGTTCAACCTTGACCCTCAACCCTAACCTTAACCCTTCCTGTCAAATGTATTCCTTTTTCTGTTTTCCTTCCTCAAACTTGTAACAGAATACAGTACAATAACACTAGTTAAGTAACAAAATTAATAAAACATGTTTTCAAATCAAATCAAATTTTATTGGTCACATACACATATTTAGCAGATGTTATTGGGGGTGTAGCGAAATGCTTGTTACAGCAAAATGCTTTCCTTTACCCATTGGAACATGATGTACCATGATGTACATCTCACATACAGTACATAGCCTACTGATACACTTCCTGGAAATGCTACACTTCCCTCTCTAAGCATTCTATTTAGAGAGACACACTAAAACCTATTTTTTAATTAAAGATCCAATGGAGCCATTTTTAACTCAATATAAAATCATTTCTAGGTGACAATTAAGTACCTTACTGTGATTGTTTTCAATATAAATGATTACAAAAAAATTGAAATAGCTTCTTAGCAAAAAGCAATTTCTCAAGCAAGAATTTAGCTTGGACTGTCTGGGAGTGGTCTGAGTGAGGGGCCTAATTGGAGGAGCCTAATAATAATAATAAATAATATGCCATTTAGCAGACGGTTTTATCCAAAGCGACTTACAGTCATGTGTGCATACATTGTTTTACGTATGGGTGGTCCCGGGGATCGAACCCACTACCCTGGCGTTACAAGCGCCATGCTCTACCAATTGAGCTACAGAGGGATATGTAACCTGACACTAGCTGTTATTGGCAGAGAGGAGGGCAAACTTTCTTTGTTATTGGTCTATTAACTTAAACCAAACCCCACCCATGCAAAACAAGCTGACATTTCCAGTGGTGTAAAGTACTTAAGTAAAACTACTACTTAAGTAGTTTTTTTGGGTATCTGTACTTTACTTTACTATTTATATTTTTGACTACTTTTACTTTTACTTCACTACATTCCTAAAGAAAATAATATACTTTTTACTCCATACATTTTCCCTGATACCCAAAAGTACTCATTACATTTTTA